CACCTACGCGGCCCGCGCGGGCCTGCGGCCCCTCGTCCTCGCCCCCGCCTTCGGCGGGCAGCTGCTGGGCAAGGGCGTGGACGCGGGGGTGGGGGGAACGCCACGTCAGCGGCGCAGCAAAAGTGGGCACGAGCTCCTCCTGCTCCTCCTCCTCCTCCTCCTGCTCCTCCTCCGTTCCTCCTCCTCCTCGTCCTCCTGCCTCCTCCTCCTCCTCCTTCTCCTCCTCCCTCCTCCTCCCTTCTCCTCCTCCTTCCTCCTCCTCCCTCCTCCTCCTCCCTCCTCCTCCTCCTCCTCCCCCCCTCCTCCTCCTCGTCCTCCCCTCCTCCTCCTCGTCCCTCCCTCCTCGCCTCTTCTCCTCCTCTCCTCCTCCTCCTCCTCCTCCTCCTCCTCCTCCTCCTCCTCCTCCTCCTCCTCCTCCTCCTCCTCCTCCTCTCCCCCCTCCTCGACGCCAGCGAGACCCGCCGAGAGCGAGGATTCGAGGCCAGAGTTTGCGCATATCGACCGCCCGGGGAGCCGATCTTTCAGGGCCCCGGAAGGCAGTGGATATGGATATATCGCCCCCGTGGGAATACAACACATCAGCGACGAGAACAACACATCATCGGTCTTCGCCGACCCTGGCGCGTAAGCTGCCCGCGTAAGGTCGCGCGTAAGCGTCCTCGTCTTCAGTGTGGCGTGCCGCGCTGGTGGCCCGCGCAGGCCGCGGCATAAGGTCGCTATGCTGTCTCGCGTGAGACCCGCTTCTGATCGTCGCGCACCTGACGCAAGCATGCACTCTCGGAGGTCTGCGCGGATTTCTTGAATCGGCCCTGGGCCCCCCCTGGCGGCGCCTCCGGCGCCGCCCCTGGCGCGCTCCGCGCGCCAGGGATGGGGGTCCAGCGCCGACTCGAGAAATCAGCCCGGACGTCGCGCGGCGAGATCCGCGCGCAGGGTGGAGCCGGCTGGAGGCCTGAGGTGGCCCAGCACCAGTTCCGGCCAGCATGAGAGGGGGGCGAGATTCGAGGTTCTGGGTTCGAGGAGGTTTTCTGCCCGTTTCGGCCACTGGGGGCCGCTTTCGGGCCCGGGGACGGGACGAAAACGGATCCAGGGTGAAAACCTGCACCAGATGTGCCGCTGGAGGGGTCCAGGGATCGATTTTGAGATGGCTTCGCCCCCCTCTTGACAGACTCTCTCGGGGCCCATCCTACTCAAACACCCCAGCCGCATCCAAACCAGATCTAGGTCACCCCGGTAATCACGCGTCGCACGTCGCGGTCTGAGCCAGAGAGGCTGCCCTTCTCCCAGGGGGCGTCGCGATTACGCGAGGGCGCGAAGGTAATCACGAGTCTCGCATCACGGGGCGCGATGCGCGAAGTGAGGCGACCTCAATAGCGCCAGGCAGCGCCCAGACAGCGCCCAGTGGCGCCGCATGGCGCTCAAACAGCGCCCAACAACGACCAATAGCACCCAATAGCGCCATGTGAGTCCTGTTCGCTTTTGCGAGCGATTGGGCGCGCTATTGGGGGCCATGGGGACGACCAACAGCTTCCGTGAGTTACATTCTCCAACTATTCATACCTGGCCTCTCAGAGGGGTTCGAGTGGATGGGGTCGGAGGGTCGCGCCGCATCGCCGATGCATCGGCGATGCGCCTCGATATGGACCTCGATCTTGCCCTCGCCGACTGCGCCGGAGCGCCGCCGACGTCGCCGATGCATCGGCTGTTCATCGGCGATGCGTCACGGTCCTCCGACCCCAGCAGCTGGGACCCCATTCGGGAGGCCTCCAACCTACAGTCGGGGCGCTGAAGAAGGAACCCTTTTCGTTGGGGAGGGGCTCCGCGTTCCTTGATTGCTTCGCAGCTTGCCTTGGATTTTCCTTTAGTTTTCGATGGGAAATCGAAGTCCAACTTGTGGATCTAAGGGGCCTCGTTCCTTATTTAGGGTTCCTTAGGTCAACGCCCCGACTGTATCCACCGTCCCTGGCCAGGCCCACGTCCTGGGCCCAGGATGGGGCGTGTGGACGTGTGCCTCTCTGGCCCAGCCAGGGGGCCGCATGCACACCGCTCGTGCTAAGGCGGCCCTGTCCCTCCACTCCACAGGAGGAACCTTCAACATTATATATAAACATCACATTTTTGTCGATTGTTTTTCTTAGTCCGAGCTCCGCCTGTACGAGGACGTGCCCGACCTGACGCTCGAGGGCCCAGGGTGGACCTGGCCAGGGGCGGTGGGCGTGAACCGAGATGTCGCCGCCACAGGACGTCGAGAACTACCCCGGGGTCGTCGGGGAGCACGCCACCGGCCGCGGGCTGTCGGGAGGGGAAACATCACACGGTCACAAGCTATCGTCGACTCCACGGAACTGTGGGAAAGTATGGGGAGTGGGGGGAGGACGAGAGCCCAGGAGATATGGGAAAGTATAGGGGGAGCCTTGGGACTCGTGTCCACTTAATTTGTGTGTCCCAGGGCCCCTCCAGGCTGGTGGAGCTGATGCGCCGGCAGGCGCTCAGCTTTGACGCCCGCCTGGTGGACGCCGCCGTGCTAGACATGGACCTTGCGTCGCGGCCCTTCGCGGTCTGGGTGAACGGCACGCGGGAGCCCATTCTCAGATGCTCGTTTCCCGGGATTTTCCTGGGACCCACCTGACATTTGCACGAACGAAATGGGTACGGAAAGAATGGGTACAATGCCCAGTTCAACAGCAGTTCCTGTTCCTTTTGAGCAGGACTCGCTGTCCGCGCCGCCGCGGCCCGTGTCCATTTGAGAGAAGGCCGCCTGCCCAACAGCGGCCGCTGTTGGTTTGGGGCAACATTTGTTGTTGGGCATTGTACCCATTTTTTCCGTACCCATTTCGGGCGTCCAATTGACAGATCTGTTCGAATGTAGCCCTGCCTGTTCGATTCTGGTTCAATTCTTGCTCCGACTCGAGTTCAAGTCGGGTTCAACTCAAGTCGACGGACGTTCGACGCAGCATCGACGCACGAGGAGAGCCAGTGGCTCCAGGAAGTCGAAGAAGAAGAAGAAGAAGAAGAAGAAACGGCGTACACATAAGCTTTTTGCCGCTCCGCGCAGATTTCTTGGATCCGCGCTGGACGCTGGACCCCCCCGGGCGGCGCTTCTGGCGCCGCCCCTGGCGCGCTCCGCGCGCCAGGGAGTGGAGTCTGCCGCAGATCCAAGACATCCGCGCGGAGCGCCATTTATCTTTATGGTATATTTTCTTATACCAAGGAAGGTTCCCAGGACGAGCATCTAGCCATCCTCGGCGGCGAGCGAGGGGTGGAAGTGAGAAGGAGAAGGCCTTCTCAGAAGGCGGCGGGACTTCTCAGAAGCCCTCGCCTCTTCTGGGAAATTTTTGTTGATCTTCGGGGGAGGTTTAGACCACTGTTCAGAAGGCCGAGGGACTCTCCGAGCCTTCTGAGAAGGCCTTCTCCTTCTAACTTCGCCCCCGCGCTCGCCGCCGACATCCGCGCTCACGCCGTCATCCTGGCCTGCGGGGCGGAGTCGCGTTGGCTCCAGGTCCCGGGCGAGGAGGCCTTCCGCGGGCGCGGTGTCAGCGCCTGCGCCACCTGCGATGGCTTCCTGTTCCGCGGGAAGGACCACGGGGCCCAAACATATACACCACCACCAGCAGCACCAGCAGCAGCAGCAGCAGCAGCACCACCACCACCACCAACACCACCACCACCTCCACCACCACCGCCACCGCCACCACCACCACCACCAGCACCACCACTTCCACCACCAGCAGCAGCAGCAGCAGCACCACCGCCACCAGCACCGCCAGCACCACCACCACCAGCACCACCACCACCAGCACCAGCAGCAGCAGCAGCAGCAGCACCACCACCACCACCACCACCACCCTCACCCCCTCCCTCTCCCAGAGAAGATCGAGGTGAAGAGGAAAGTAGAGGGGAGGAGGACACTGGAGGTGGTGGTGGTGGTGGTGGTGGTGGTGGTGGTGGTGGTGGTGGTGGTGGTGGTGGTGGTGTATATTCTTGGGGCCCGCGAGGACGTCGCCGTGGTCGGCGGCGGCGACACCGCCATGGAGGACGCCCTCCACTTGGCCCGCTCCAGCAGGCGGGTCAAAGAAGTAAAGTGTACCCATACCGCTACCCGCTACCCTCGCCTCGTATTCCCCTTTCTGGGCTTCCTCGGAGGCCCTCGTCGCCACCGCTGGATTCGCCTCGAAGTCCTGGTCAGAACGCACACTGGGAGAGGTCTGGGGAGTAGCAGTATCGGTGTCTTTTGGCTTCCCCAGGCGGGTCACGGTTGTGCACAGACGCGGGCGCCTCACCGCGAGCAGGTTCTTGGCCGAGCGAGTGCTGAACCATTCTTCCATCAGCGTGCAGTGGAACCAGACGGTGGAGTCTTTCCACGGCGCCGGAGACCTGTCGCACGTGATGCTGAAGTCGAGCGTGGGCGGGCAGAAGGATCGCCTGGACGTCTCCGCTGTGTTCGTCGCCATAGGCCACGACCCCCAGACGGGGTTCCTGCGCGGCAAGATCGAGATGGACAGCGCAGGCTATGTCACCCTCAAGGGAGGCACGGCGACGTCTGTGCCGGGCGTGTTCGCCGCGGGCGACATTGCGGACCACACTTACAGGCGCACCATCGCCCCTCCTCCCCCGATCCTCGAATGATGCGATACGGCAGAAACATAAACTTTCAGAGGTCAGCGCGGACTTGTCGGGTCGGCACTGGGCCCTTGAACTCTGTCGCGCCAGCGGAGGCGCTGGAGGAGACCCCAGCAGGGGTCCAATACCGATTCAAGAAGTCTGGCGGACCCGCAGAAGCCAGTGATAGGTTTTTTGATCTCTAAGGTCCTGCTCCTCCTCCTGCTCCTCCGTTGCGGACCTCATGTGCAGGCAGGCAATCACTGCCAGCGGCACTGGGGCGATGGCAGCTCTGGATGCGGAGAGATATCTCAACGCTATCTGAGGCGCCTTCACTGCCCCGCGACGTCAGACCTCTGACATATTGATTTGTTCAATCCGTGCACCCCAGAGAACTCGTCCCATTTCCCTCCATCTTTGTTTGCGTCCCGTTTTTGATGGCCCTGGGGCCTGAAAACAAACCTTAGGGGCCGAACTTGAGGAAAAGCGCTGGGAGTGAACAAACAACAGTCCGCTTGAGGTCTGTGTCCGATACCGCGTCGGTCCAACGCGACGGGCTGCGGAGCGACCAAAAATGGGACAGAAGGGAGCAAAAGGGAGCGCAGCATGTGCTCGCCCCTGTTCATCTTTCTCCTCCACCGCTGCGATCCCCAAAGGGACCCAAGACCCTCGTGCTCCCAGATCGCGCCCCTCCGGCCGCCGAAGACGCCGAGACTTTCTTCCCGCGCGCGCATCAGATCCAGGAGCATGGTGCGCTGTCTCTGGCCAACCTGTGCCGCCCCATTTTGGTCCTTCACGTCGGGCCCTTCGGGTCGGTCCTTCAGGCAGACCGGAGCAGGTGACCGCACCACTTATTTTTTGTCTCCCCTGGGAGGACAAGTAGGGTAGTGAGGCAGCGGCGGCGGACGAGGATGATTGGGGAGGAGGAGGAGGAGGAGGAGAGGAGGAGGGAGGAGGAGGGAGGAGGAGGAGGAGGAGGAGGAGGAGGAGGGGAGGAGGAGGAGGAGAAAGAGGAGGAGGAGGAGGAGGAGGAGGAGGAGGAGGAGGAGGAGGAGGAGGAGGAGGACCAGCAGCAGCAGCAACATCAGCAACGGCATCGATACTTGCGGTACCGTGACGTTGTGTCCGAGCACGGCCGCCAGGCGACCTTTTGCTGCGATCTGCCCGACGTGCGGCTGCGGTGCCCACGCAAGCCTGCTGTGAAGGGTGCCCGCTGGCACAGCGAGCGGCCTGGGTGTCACCCCGTGCCAGCGCTGTACCAGGAAGCTAGATACACGTGATGCTGCCGACCTGGGCGTGATCTGGATACACATGTGTCTGCATCCAGCGTTCGGCTCTCGTATGGCCAGGCGAGCCAGCCCTCTGCATATGTACCCAGCGCCAGCGCGTGGCCTCCATGTTCCGCATGTGAACGAAGCCATGTGTGCCTCCATTTTCCTTGTGCATTGGAGCGTGTTCGGTCGCCACCTCCACAACGCAGTCGCAGCTCTTCCCACCGACAGTCGGCCGAGGAGGAGCGTCTTCCATGTCATGGGCGATAGGTGGCATCGGAAGAAGAGCCCACCCGTCGACAGCTCGTGGTAAGGAGGACGCCTCGCGTCTCTGGCGGTGTGCACTAGGGTTTGGTCTTTCAGGCAGGCTTCGTCGTCGGTCCACTCGATCTTCTTCTCGGTCGTGCGGAGCGAAGAGTGCTCGCGACCCCCATGCTTCAGGAAACATTGGAGATTCCTGCCCGCAATGTGGTGCGAGGAGTGCTCGCGACTCAACTGCTTTGCAAATCATCCTTGCACGTGGTGTGCACGAGCGCACCGTGAAGAGGTCTGACTGAGGCTCGACGCGTCGCTCAGTTTCCCTTCCAATCGTGTTGTATGTGATTCGGGACATGATGCAGTTCTCGTGCTTCTAACCTGTCATTTTCTTTGCATTGGACTTGATTTTGCTGTCTCATGAGTGCTGTTTATTGGCTGAGTTGTGTCAGTCGTTCTCACTTCCACTACGTTTTTTGGGTTCTGGTTTTCGCGATTCCGATGCGATCATGCCACCTACTCTTACCGTATTGCCCAGAGGTCATTCCGCATCTCTCTCATAGCATGGTTTTTCAAGCCCACTGGCCAGTCACTGCACGGTGTATGTGATCAGTTGGAGGACGGGGCTGCTCATCTGTGTTCCCCTACGCGCATCAAGCCGTCCCCTCCGTCGCGGAACCCAGACCTCCGACGTCGTGTTTTTTCACGACGCGGGCGTCCCGATGCCTAGGCTCCCCCCCCCCGGGACCGGTCGTTCGTCCCGAGTCGCCCCCCCCTGCGACCGACAGTGGCCAGAGCCCCTCCCGTCGTGTTTTGCTTGTGTTCTCGCGACGGGGGGTCTGCCCCCCCCCCCCCCCCCGCACTCCCCCCCCTTACCAGCCTCGAACGTATCCCTATCCCCAAGATTGACACGCCAAAAGACGATGACAGTCTTAGGGATCCGCCCTCAAAGAATAAGGGAATCCCTGAGATTGCCATCGTGGTGAGGAGGTGCCCAGCATAGGGACAGGGATAGGTTCCAGGCTGGTAAGTACCCCCCCACGCCGAGCGGCCGTGGGGGGCCGCAGCTCGGGGCCTGCGGGCGGCCGCTCGGGTTCGATGTGGTCGGGCAGCCCAGGAGCGCAGTGGGCCGAGGCGCAGCTGCGGGAGAGCGTCCCGGGACGGGAGAGCTTCCAAGAGCTGATGGTCGGGGTCGGAAAAGAGTGGGGTGATGACTAGGGGGGGGTGGATATCATGGCGGGGGCCATGATATTTCCCAGATTTCATGGCCCCTCTTATTTCATTACGTCCCTGGCCCCCCTGCTGGGCCGCGCACATGCCGCCGGTCATGATTTGCACCCCCCCCCTCTTGGACACCCCCCTCTTGGCCGCTCCCGAGATGGAAATCAGCGTCCAGGCTAAGAGAGCGCCAGGCACATCGTCGTGCTCAAGAGTGGGAGGAGGAGGAGGAGGAGGAGGAGGAGGAAGACCAGTCGAAACCCAAGACCCATCAGTGATGCTGGAATAAACCCGCCCTCGAAGCTCCCTCTTCACTGGCTCCTACAAGGGTTCATTTCCACTGACGGAAGTGCCCCGTTTGGAGACAACCGTTTGAAGATCCTGAAGCGTACCAAAACACCATTCTCGAGACGCCAACGCCATGAATCAACATGACTGTTGCGTCTTGGCGATGCTGAGTCGTGCCAGAACACCATTCCTGGGAGTTCAACACCGCGAATCAGAGTAACTGTTGCGCCCTGACAATCCTGAATCGCTGCAAACACACGCACACTTTCTGCACACTTTCTGTTACGTTGACCGTACGAGTGCGTGCAACTCTGTGGCAAACTTTGAAACGAATTTGCGCGGCGCTAAGGCGAGAGCCACATATTGAAACGGAATTGCCCTCAAACCCTGAAACTCTTGCACATTTTCAAGACGAGTGTGCGCAGCGTTAAGGCGAGAGCCACATTTTGAAATCGCCCCGCCTTCAATCCGTTCAGTTCGTAAACTTTGAGAAGAAGAGTGTGCGCGGCGCTCAGACGAGAGCTACATTTTGAAAACGACCCACCCTCAATCCGTGAACGTCTTGCGAATTCCAAGACGAGTGTCCGTGGCGCTAAAGCGAGAGCCACACTGTGAAAACCACCCGCCCTCCATTTGTGCACTTGTTGCCAATTTCTAAAGCTTCTGGATCATAGATGGTAAGGAAGTCTCAGGCGAACCGCCCGGCCCGCCCTTCCGAGTGGCCTCGTAGGAGGGGGCGGAGGAGGACGCGGAGGAGCTGGAGGAGGAGGAGGGGAGGGGCAGGGGGAGGGGAGGAGGGGGAGAGGAAACGAAGTCGGAACAGACGCGACGCGTCAGAACAGGCGAACGCCCGCCTCTGCCGCTGCAGCCCCCGACCCACACGACGAAGCCGGCGAAGACGAGCAGCAGTGCAAGGGAAGACGGGGTCCAGCAACACGTGGACGCTTGACAAGACAAAGAAGGCAGATCAACAGTTGCTTGGCACCTCGAACGAGTATCCCCCTACATGAACGCTGCCATCCACGCAGAACGTTACTTCACATCGCTTCGACATCAAACAAATGTGTCACTCCTTCTCCCGACTGGCCACAATTGCGTGCTGCGGCCACAGCAAAGCGCAGGCGCAACACCTCGAGTCGAGGCGATGCAGCTCCGACTCGGTACCAAGGAGCCCCGCCCGGCACGCAGCCCAAACGCCTGAGAAAGCACGGAGCAGAGACTGGGCACCACAGCGGCACCGTGCACGATGAGTTGGAGAGCGGGGGGAGCCTTTGGCCAGGCAGCTGTGGAGTGGCAGGGCGTGCCTCCTCCGCCCCGCTCTCTCCGGGCGGGCCGCTCCCGGCAGTGCAGCGGCAGCACGGCACACGAGACGTGTGCCGAGCGTGCGCCAAAAGGCCGGGCCTTGCGACCCCCGAGGGGGGCGACACACTTGCCAGCGGATCCCAGCATGTGCAGCATCCCTCAAGCAGTGGCGAAGCGTCCTGGCTCCCCTTTTGGCCCCAGCAAGCCATGTTCTAAGAACCGATTGTGGTCCCACGAGATGTTCTTAGAACATTTCGGGTTGAGATTGTCTTGCTTGAACACATCGGGTTTACGTTCTAAGAGCATTGCTTGTGTTCTTGGAACATTTGTGGGTTCTAAGAATATGTCGTGGTAGGGCTATAGAAATGCCGGACGGTCGGTCCCTGCTCAAATCCCAGGCCATCATGATGCACGGCAGCACAGCCCACTCAACCCCTATGCGGAGGGCGAGCCCCTAGCTCTCTGACCACCGGGGAGATCGACACACGCTCCTTCCAGATCCCAGTCTGTGCTCGTGCCGAAAACAACCCACTCACTCGAAAGCCGTAGCGCCGCATATTGAAACGCTGTGCTGATCCAAACAGCTCTGCCTCTTGCCAATACCCAGCCGCATACAACTTCACACGACCGCAATAAGCAAAACACGTGCTACTTCACTTCGGTGCACCCAACACGATCGGCAGTACACGGCTCTGTAGACGAGTTGCCACTTGAGCGCCACGGCGAGTCATCGAGGTGCGATTCAGGACCACTGGATAAGCCCAAATACGTGCGGGACTCTGGGCCACATATGCTTGAGTATAAGAGGGAGAGAGGAGCACGAGAAGAAGAGAGGGAGAGTAACCGAGATCAGTCTTCTAGACCCCAAGCGTGGAAGCTAACTATCCTTTCGACGTCCTCTTTGACGGCCTGGGATTCCACCACTAGAGGACGACGACGACGACGACGACGACGACGACGACGACGACGACGACGACGACCACGATGCGATTACGGCTACGACTACGACTACCCCGAGAGAGACCTTTTGATAGTTTACGGTGAGGAGGAGGAGGAGGAGGAGGAGGAGGAGGAGGAGGAGGAGGAGGAGGAGGAGGAGGAGGAGGAGGAGGAGGAGAGGACGAGGTGGGAGGAGGGAGGAGGGAGGAGGAGGAGGAGGAGGAGGGAGGAGGAGGAGGAGGAGGGAGATGAGGAGGAGGAGGAGAGGAGGAGGAGGGGAGGAGGAGGAGGAGAGGAGGAGGGA